GATATCAAATTTCCAGTCAAGAAAGAGAGTAAAAGGAGAGTTCGGTGATCTCTTGGACAAATCACCCTCTAGGACGCCAAGATAGGTTCAGCTAGGAAGGGGAGGAACAAGGGAAAACAGGAGCTTTTCCCCATGGACTGACCCGTGACGAGATCCTACGCCCGGGCCCATAACATGTCCATTCCCCTCAGCAGCCAATTAACCTCCCTTCTCTCATTAGCATAGAACCAAAATCCCATTACCTTTCCTTAACCAATTTAACACTAGCCATGAGTCTCCTTCAATAATCAATTTTTGGATGTTCAACTATTTGGCTTTCCTTAATCGTACTAACAAAGCAAACAGTTCAGCTCTCAGAGAGTCCCCCAACCCAATGGGACTAGAATATAGAGCAACCCCCTTCCCACTTTCATCTCTGATTACACCTCCAACCTCTGATGGACCTGGGTTGCCTTCGTTGTTCCCATCAAGGTTTAACCCGGGGGTGGGGGAGACAACACGGGGCACACCAAAGATTTAGTCGGCATAGAGGAGGCAACATCCTTCCAACTGTTCAGCAGCATACTCGTAGAGACATCAACAAACATCTCCAAAGTTTTCAGCCATTGCATCACCATAACTGTTATGACTTCAATCACCTCTTCTTTCTTTCTTTCTCTGAGAAGGTTCTTTGATTCCTTTCTTCCCACAATGTCCAGTGTAGAAACCACTGATGTGGTTCCCAACTCTTTCTATTGTACTCGTATACAACTACTAGTTATTTAAGTGTCTGTCCACAATTAGTTGTTAGTCTTTTATTAGGACTTTAGTCTTTTAGTCTTTTATTAGGACTTTAATTGTTGTCTTTTATTAGGATTTTAATTTTGCCATGTAAGCAGTCTTATCCTTACTTCAGAATTAATATAAATAGAAAGAGGGGGGCGGCAGATTAAGCATCCTCTTCTTTTCTGAAATCCTTCCTTCGAAATCTTCTTCTCTTCTTCTCTATTTCTCCTCTCATCCTCTTAATTTCTTGTTGATTTTACACCACAGCTTGGGCTGTTAGTAATCTCATATGACTACATCCTGCATATTGCAGCTCTCAAACATCTCCACATGATTTTACCTCTTTTTTTTTCAGCCACCTAAAGAAAGAAGCAACAAACAAACCTTGTATGCTTGAGGGAGAGGACCACCTGCAACCAAATAAATCCATAAACTAAATCCAAATACCAGAACTGAAAGGGCATGAAACCAGTAAGTGGTAGGGGCTTTCACCATTAGCCTTGCACAAGATGCACCAATGAGGAGACAAGCACCTATTAGGCCTTTTCCTTTGAGAATATCACAGGTATTACATCTTTCCAAGAAGGCTTCCCAACAAAAAGCTCCAATCCTTGGAGGAATCGGTTAACCAAACTTCCTACACAGGAAAATTCTGGAGGCTACTATTATTAGAGTACACCAAAGATTTGAAAAAGGAGGCATAGGAAAAGAAACCAGAGGGGGTGAAGGTCCCTCTTTTTGAGTCCCCAAAATCTGGACTACCTCCATAGCATCCTCAAGTTCTGAGTCCCCAAGGCCTCCTCTGAAAACCAAATCCCAATCAAACCCAAAAGTAGACTCAAAAGGGGCCAGAAAGGAAGACACAAGTTCCCCTTTAAGTTGAGAGATGGAGAATTAAGGATGGAAACTTATCTTTCAATGGAACTTCTCCCACCCAAAGGTTTCCCTAGAACTTCACCTGGTTGCCAGAGCAAAGATCATACCTGATGTGCTGCAAGAAAGAAGGGAGAATGGTATGTATGGATCTCCAAGGAGAGGCTCTATTAGTCCTTGCCACCAGTCCAGAGTCCCACCCATAATTAGCAAGCCCATGTATACTCAGGATCACCTTAGCCCACAACTTATCTTTGTCCTCTGTTAACCTCCATAACCACTTTCCAAAAGAGCTTCATTTATCTTCCTAATGTTTCCTAGCCCCAAACCACCTTCCTCCCTACTTCTGGAAACAATCTCCCACTTCACCCTATGGTCTTTCCTGTCCTCCCCCAGCTCCCATAAGAAATCCCTCATCATCTTCTCTAACCTTTTACTTACACCCTCAGGGATCCTAAAAGTAGATAAATAGTACACTGGGAAGCTAGCCAAGGTGGACTTAATCAAAGTGATTTTGCCCCCCAAGGATAAGTAATTCTTTTTCCAAGAAGCCAACCTTTTAGTGAATCTGTCAACTACCGGGCTCCAAAAGTTATCATTCCCCGGGTTGTCCCTAAGAGGCAAACCCAAATRCTTCAATGGCCATTGAGAAACCTCACTCACTTCCATGTTAATCCCCACTACACACCTCTTAATCAAATTCACCCTCATATTTGATATTTTTTAAAAAATTTGCACTACCATCTTCAAATTCCTAACCCACCCCACCTCCTCCCTGTCACAGAACAAAATTGTATCATCAACAAATTGCAAGTGAGTGATAGGTATTCCATCTATTCCAACCTTCCATCCCTTCACTAGATTCCTGGAGTCTGCCCTTTCTATTAGTCTTCCCAACACATCTACAATCAAGGTAAAGAGGAAGGGAGAGAGAGAGGGTCACCTTGTTTGATTCCCCTAATAGCCGGAAAGTGATCCACAAATGTTCCATTCACCAATATGGAATAATGACAACTCTCAAGACACCCCAAAATCCACTTACACCATTTCACCCCAAATCCAAAGCACTCCATCACTTGCATTAAGAAGGACCAGTCAACCATATCATAAGCTTTCTCTAGATCCAACTTGCATACAATCCCTTTCTTTCTTCTTCTGTTCACCTTCCCCACACATTCATTTGTGATTAAAAGTTGGTCAACAACCTACTTCTTACCCACAAAAGCCCCTTGAGATTGCACATGAATTTCTATATCTATGATATTTATCTAGCATGTTTACATAATCATTTTAACCATGTGATCATGAACTAAAGTTCCTTACTGCTATCTTAGTCTACAACATGGATAAATATGGTTGAAGGTGTTAGACAGTTTTGTATGCCCTTAGCTTCAATCCGATTTGATGTACTTTTGTTATTTAGTGGAAATAAATAAGGTGCATGTTTGATTCATGTTGTTTGGTTTAATTCTGTGTA